AGGGCACCAAGGAGCCTGCGCCTTCCCTGCCATCCTCGCGCCTCCGCGCCTTGCCCTGCCCCATGACTCTCCGCACCGCGCTCGCACACAGGAACAAGCCACTGCCTCACGCTCGAACCTGACCCGCTCCGCTGGGAGCCTCACGAAAAGCGCGCTTCCCCACGAGGCCGGCACGGGACCTGCCGCCTGCTCCGCTCGCACCGCTCCTGCCCCGGGAGGCGCCGCTCCTGCCGCGCACGGACAAGCACCGGCTCCTTCCTTCTCCCGCCGACGCAGCACCAGGCATCGCGCACAGCAGCGGACACCACGACCGCACAGACGCGAGCGGGCAAGTCCAAACGGACCAGGGACAGAGTATAAAGCAGTGGCCTACTCCTCTTTTTCTTTCTCCTCCTCTTTCCTCTCTTCCCCAGGCCGGCCGAGCACTCGGAGCGCACTGAGGAGCTGTTGATGCTGGCACTGTCAAAGTCGGACTCTTCCCGTTCCTCCTCTTCGCTCTGCAGAGAGGGGAAAAAAACAAATCAGAGCAGACACAGGGCAGCCTAAGGCAACGAGGCCCCAGGACCTGCGGAAAAGCAGGCGGGATGGGCAGCCGGGCAGAGCCCCCAGGGCGCGTCCAGGAGAAACGCCGCCCGGGCTGCACGTGAGCGACGAGCCGGTGCATCGAGGACGCCGGCGGCGCTACCACGCGGCACCACACAGGCCACAAGAACCGTCCCGGGCGCTGGGCAGCAGCATCACATCGACGCCCTTGATAACCCTCAGACACGCAAATGCCCCAGCCTAGAGTCCATCTAGAGACACTGAGGAACTTTCTGTGATGCGTGATGGAAAAACGCAGCGGTGAGAGACTGCCTCAAACGGCTCTTTTCCCATCGACCTCTGATACACAAAATAATTACAAACAGGTTGTGTTGGTGAGCTAGACCTAGAGCTGGTGAACTCCAAAAGGGCTGAATTAACAGGGTTCTGATCTATGTTATTGAGACCTGCCCCGCTGAACAGCTATTGACCACGTTTACTCTCCTCTAAGATGCTCTGCGTACACCAGGCACTCCCATGGCACGCAGGCGGCAGGATTGCTCCTTCCCCGCACGCACGGAGCCCCTGAGACCCCAGGATTCTGCTGCAGAAACACAGCTGCGAGCAGGCAGCCCACAGAAACGTTACTAAAACGCTTGATGATTCTCTCAGACACACAGCACAGCCAGAGCGCAAACCCTAAGGAAGCCCTTGGCAAAAGAAATCTGAAACGATGCCATTACTGAAGCCACCCCTGAAAGTAGAAGTGACTGTAAGATTGGAGCAGGAAAAGTGCCCCGGGGTGGCGTGGCCAGAGCTCTTTGCGCAAGCACAGAGCAAACACCGGCCACGGGACACGGGAGCCACGCTAGGGACACAGGAGAGCACTGGGGACATGGGAGAGCGCTGGGGACACGGGAGAGCGCGCTGGGGACGCTCCCTGTCCCGCAGGCGGCACCGCCAGGGCCCTGCTGCCCCTGACCTGCACACACTTACGGACGAGCTCTTTTTCCTCTTGCTGGGGACGCCTCCGAAGCGGAACTTCAGGCCTGCCATCTTTTTGCCCTTTCCCTTTTTCTTCCCATCTTTGGAGCCCTTGACTTTCTTCCGCACACCTGGACCTGACGAAACAGAAGCCTCTCTTGGTACCCGGCTGTCTCAGCGTGCCCTGTGCCACGACGGCCCCGTTCGCACCACGGGTGAGAAGGCTGGAGGGACCCCCGGGACGCGGCGGCTGCCC